CTGTGAACCTAATAATTTACAGTCAATTTTGAAAGAGAAGCATCTTAGCTCTGGAAATTGTTATTGAATATGTCAGTTCTGTTGTAATGAAATGCCTCTTCTAATCATTTGGTTATGAAATAAATAATTTAAAATAATAGTACTACAAAAAAACTTTGATTGTAAGACAAAGAAGTGCCAACTTCTGTGTGTGCATCAGGGAGCCCCTGATCTTGACATGCATGGGGTAGGCCAGTGTGTGTGTGTGTGTGTGTGTGTGTGTGTGTGTGTGTGTACAGCCTGCCTGGAATCAGTGCAGAGATGCTGAGGTCCTGTCAGGGAGGACTCACTAAGAAATCTTTGTTTTAGGAAGATCAGTTTTTCCTTACCTAGCAGTAATCAGTTGCCGATATTTCTTCAGCTAAGATTGGGGTATGCTGTTCATTTCCCCAGTTCTATGCTGGGTTTTTGTCTGCTCGAGTTTGCATGGGACTTGTGTGTGACTCTAGATAGGCTGACTAGACCTCAGCAGATGAACTTGCACTGGGGAATGACTCTCTGGGGACTCTGATGCAGTGGGCCTTAACACAGATGACAGAATATATGGATTCGGTGTGTGTGTCGGGGGTATGGGAATGTGCCGGTGGGGATGGGGGTATAAAGATGATTAAGATTGTTTGAGATATTCTGTATGAAATACACAAAAATTCAATAAAAACAAATTTACAAAAGAGGGAAGGAAGTAAATAATAATAAAAAAAAGAAAAACCATTGTTGCTCTGCTAAATACGTGCCAGGCAGGATGTGATCTCAAGTATGCTGAGAGAGTGATGATTAAGGGAAAGGACTAGGCTACGTGGCCCACCAGAGCCCTGAAGAGAGGATTCAGGCACTCCAAACACAAGAACAGGTGCCACTATGGACAGGAAGAGCAGGGGCAGGCTCTGGCCCAACTGTCACCAATCTCTCCTTTAATCTGTTCAAAGGCTCCAGTGATTCCTAGGACAGAAACCCATCTTCTGTGGTACTCACGGGGTGGAGCAGGCTGGCACTGTCCACTTTTGTGCCTCAGGACCATCCTCCTTCTCCTCCTCTGTGCTCCCGCCACACAGTCTACCATCAGTTTTGTCTGTCTATGGTCTACATTCATCCCTGTATCTCCAGCACCAGTATGTGGACATTGAATAAATGGACACAGCTTCTTCCACAGGGCCTTTGCACAGACTATCCATGTATGCCTCTTTAACCCTTTGCCTTTCCTTGTCAATTGAGAGCCTACACAGTCTCAGGGACATCTCTCCTCCTTTACTAGGCCCAGTTTCTCTCCTGTACACAATTTCACATTGACCTATAGTGTATTTGCTTAAAGCTCATTTCTACAGACAAAGTTCATGGGGGCAGTGGCCACTGTTTTTTTTTTGGGGGGGAGAGATGTCCCCCTGCATAGAGTACCAGAAATTAGAACCCTGTAGTGCTCAATGAACATTTATGGGATAGACGGGTGGGTGGATAAATCAGTATTCTTCTTGTACTTCAGGAAAGCTCCTAAGAAACAGGTGATACCTCAGAAGGACTTTGTAGGGCATATGAACTTTCAGTAGATGATGTTTCATCCACCCCAGAAGGAGCAGAAGCAAGGGGTAGTGTGGTTGAGGGGATTGTCTATCTAAGAGAAATAGAAATCTGGGGAACTACAGACTTCTAGGGTTGGAAAGATAAATGAGTCATGTTTGGAAGGATTCAAACATTAGAGTTGAAGACTTGGTTCTCAACTGACAAGCACTGGGGAGCCGTGGAGGTGGGCTGAGGGCAAGGGGACACTCAGAGCTTGTCTTTGAGACAGTTCAATGATAGGGAAACTGAGGGAAGTTAGAGAGAGATGCTGGAGGCAGAAACTCATCACCTTAGGAGGAATAATAACAGTTTTGGTCAAATTCCTAAAGCCCAAGAACGGGGCTGGAGTAGATAAGAATCAGGACAAAATGTGTGTGTCAAAATTAATTAAAGAAATTTACAATGGATGGGAAATTTTAAGAAAGAAGTGGACTGGTGTTTGGAACATGAATTTCTAGGATCTGTCATTTTTATCCTTATTTTTGTGGCAGAAAAAGACAAGGTAGTACTTAGAAATTGTGGGGAGGAAATGAATTTGAGGGCTGAAAATACACCATAAAAGGGAGATAAAAATCAAGTACAAAGACTTATTGTATTTGGCTCATTAAATGTTCAGTTGGTCAAATGTAAAAATTGAAAGTTCTCATAAAAATGTCACTGAAGATTTACACTCACTGGATACTGACATGTGGCAGCCAGTGATTGAGTACAGGCAGTGTGGGCAATTTCCCAGCATTCCGCCTGATCCCACTCACAGGCAGGTTCACTCAGGACCTGCCCCAGCTCTAGGGGTGGCTAAGTTATGCTGAAAAAAGATTATCAGTTCTTACAACTCACATGCCTCAGATGAGTAAGAATATTCTAAAAGAGACTGTTGTGCTTCTCACTTTGGCTATGAGACTGTGAAAGAAGGCACCCAGGGAAGTGGAGTTTCTATTAGGAATCTTGTGTTGGAAGAAGGAAAAGATGGAAGGCTGGTGCCAGCCAGAGGGGTAGTTTGTTACCCAGAACGATTTCACACAGGTACAGACAGGACAACATGTCAGAGCACCTTGTGGGAAAGCTTAGAATTGAGAATGATGGGTTAATGGTCTGCAGAGCCATGGCTTGACTAGAACTGCTTAGTTATGTATACCTCTTGCCATTTAATTAGACCTAAACCTAATATAAGTACTTCGAAGATGGACTTGGGGAGTTTCTGGATCTCTTTGTTCCTCTTCCCAATGTGGCTATGTTGAATAAATCTCCATTTACTGTTTTTTCACTGTTAATTTGGCTTTTTTAATTGGTTTAAAGAGCGTGAATGGCTGAGCCTGCCTTGATAGGGCTTCCAGGGGTACAGACTCCATCCCCTAATTCCAGTAACACTCCCACCTTTTTGGGTACTATTGTATATATTTCCATGAGGAGACATGGAGGACTGGAAGTGGCTCCCTGTAGAAGTCCAATGAGCACAATGTTGGGGTAACTCACTAGCATTTGCATTATCTCCTCTCAGTCTTGGCTTTCAGGATCCTGGGGATAAACACATTTTGCAGAATCAGTGTCATGGTGTAAATAACTACATAAAAGTATGTGGGAAATTCATAAGACGTTTATTGATATGTTTATCATGCCAAAATGTTATTTAAAATTCAAATTTCACTTGAAAAAAAAAAGGCAAACAAGTGACAGTTGAGACCCCTGCATGCCCCTTGGAGGGATCCTGCGTCCACGGAAAAAGCACATCCTACAGCTACTTGATTGGATCCCTCAGAAATGCATTCTGGGAAATTCCTCCTAGAGCTCCCTCGAAGGATGCCAGTGGGTCTTTAGTTGGTTGCATCTGGGAAATAACAACAAATGCATTCTAAGCCTTCTTAGAATATTTCTGGTTTTGAAACTACTGACCCTCAAGGATCTACCACCACTCAACCTAGAACAGACATTGCTTGCTGGCTGTTGTATCTGCCCCATAGGCTGGCTTCAGTCTGCTGGTGGGATCCAGTAGGTTCTGGCTGTGGGTGGCTAGCTCTTCAGGAGCGTTTGGACTTGCTGCAAGTTGGGCACAGAAGCTGACCCTTGGTGACAATGTAGGCCCGGCCACTCAGCAGCTGCTCACAACCCTCACAGATAAAGTGCTTCCGATGCCAGGCCAGGTCTTCCACACGCTGGTAGTCTTCTGAGAATATGATCTGTTAAGCAAAGCAGAGGGAATGTATGGCTTAGGTTCTGCTCCTACGTAGAGACAAAATTATGGGATGGTGGTCTATGTTCTGCTCTTTAACTGTCTGCCAATAGCAATCTGACATAATCTGAGGCAGTTGGTATGGTCGTTATGGAGGGTTATGGTTGTGTCTTAGCTTCTCAAGTGGGAAAATCAAAACCTTTGTTACGGGCAGGTTTTTATTTATCTATGTGTGAAACTTTGTGGGCCAATCCAAAGACCAATTGTGTTCTGAGACACACCTACAGAGTGGCCCTGGAACATAGCTAATGATGCCCAAGAAGCCGGGGGCCAGCCTCAAAGAGCAAGAACATGGAGGGTGGCCCCTTGGCCTCTGAATGAAGCAACACCTTAGAATCACCCCTGAAGCCGAGCAAAGGCAGAACAGCAACCTGCTTTAGCGGCCTTCCAACTTTGGAGCTGAACAAGATGTAGGCATGAATTGTCATCTGACATTTGCCAGCCTTGTGACTTGGCAAATTTCATCATCTCTCTGTGCCTCTGCTTACACATCAGTAAACTGGAGGTACAAGAACTTTCCATTCCCAGGGCTTTAGGAGCACAGTGCTTGGAAGAGTGACTGACATGGGCAGTGGTGATAACCATTGACTTTCTGGGCTGTCCTTGTCTCACGTACTAAATGGGCATTTGTCTTTAAAGGATTCTGTGTGTATGTGTGTGTGTGTGTGGGGGTGCATATGGAAGTCAGAAGACAGCCTCAGGTGTCATTCCTCAGGCATGTTTTACCTTTTGTTTGAGAGAAGGTCACTCATTGGCCTGTACCTGTCCCCAACTAGAACATGCAGTATAATCCCACCATTTCTGGGATAACAAGTGCCTTGCACCATGCATTCATTTTTCTTTCTTTCTTTCTTTCTTTCTTTCTTTCTTTCTTTCTTTCTTTCTTTCTTTCTTTCTTTCTCTCTCTCTCTCTCTCTCTCTCTCTCTCTTTCTTTCTTTCTTTCTTTCTTTCTAAGTAAGTAAGTAAGTAAGTAAGTAAGTAAATTCTCAGGATCCAAACTCAGGTCCTTGTGCTTGCAAGACAAACACTTTCATTTTTTGAGACAGGGTCTCCCTGTAGCCCCAGCTGGCCTGGAACTTGATATGGAGACCAGACTGGCCTCCATCTCATCGAGATCTGCCTTTCTCTGCTTCCCAAGTGCTGGGATTAAAGGCATTAAACCACCACACCCAACACAAGGCAAACACTTTACCATAATGTACTGCATCATGCATCATTTTGCGCCACATTGATTTATTGTATCATACTGAATCTCACCATGCCAGTCACACTGTACTGTACTGTACCATGCTGTACCACATCATACTGTATCGGGTCCCACCATACTGACACATTGTATTCTACTATATTGGATTATACTGCATGTTCTAGTTTGATTCTCCATTGCTGTGACAAAATACTGTGACCAATACCAACTTGGGGAGGAAAGAGTTTATTTTATCTTACATCTCTTGGGTCACAGTTCATCAGGGAGCCCAAGGTAGGAACTCAGGGCAGGAACCTGGAGGCAGGAGCTAGAGCACAGAGCATGGAGGAACGCTGATTACTGGCTTGCTCTGTTCGCCCCTGCTCAGCCTGCTTTCTTGTGGAACACAGGCCCACCTGCCCAGGGGTGGTACCACTCATGGTGGGCTGGGCCCTCCCACATCACTCAGTAATCAAGGAGATGCCCCACAGACATGGCCACAGGTCAGTTCAATGGAGGCAATTCCCCAGTTGAGGCTCCCTCAACCCAGGTGTGTCAAGTTTACACTAAAGCTATCCAGCCCACTACATTGTATCATATTACATGCAGTCATACTTTACCATACTGTACCATACATCATATCATGCCACACTAAACTGTACCATACTTTACCACATCATATTATATCATATTGTATCATCTCACATCATACAGTCATATCATAGTGTACCATAAGTACCAATCATATCATGCCATACCATACTTTACCACATATTATATGATATTGTATTACAGCACGTCATATCAATTGTATTGTACCGTATCATAATGTATCATACTGTACCATAATCTTATTATACACTGATGTATCATATCAATCATACCAATTGTGTGGTGCTGTACAAGGCTATACCATAGTGTGGTAAGACTGATATTAGCTGACATGTATTATCCTAGGCTGGCTCTGTGCAGAGCATTTTCACACACTAGCTCACTCATCCTCACAGCTCCACAACTGGGTTCTTTCTCATTCCAGCTTTGAAAGTGGTCCCACTGAGAGATATTTTTGGTAACACAGGCCTCTTAGACACAGACTCCAGGTTTGAACATGGGCATTCTGCCTCCTGGTTTACCCTCCAGGTCTGTTACTAAGTATGAGGTATTTTGTCATGGACAGGACTGGGCAGCTCTGTGATCTGTCTCAGCAGCCCATGGATACGAATAAAAATCAGCCTTATTGTTGTTATTATTATTTTTTTTGAGACAGATTAGCAGTCTATAGCCCAGGCTAGGCTTGAATTCTGGCTGATCCTCCTATATCCAACCTCCCAAGTGCTGGGATTATAGGTCACCATACTCATCTTAGACCCATTTTACAGATGGGAAATTAGAAGCTGAGAGATACAGTGAGGCATACTTCAGTTTGCCCTACGGAGGACCCACCATCAGCAAAGTCATACTCATTAGCCTTGGGCTTCCTCCCACCGCATAGGCATGCCAGCTTGCCATCACCAGCCTACTGGTTCTCACCTCATCGCAGCCTGAGCACCTGGGTCGCAAGGTCTCACAGTAGTGGCGGCCGCACCAGGGTGCCCCATCCTTCCAGAAGTAGATGAGGTCCACCAGTGGTTCTGAGCACTTGATGCATACAAAGCAGTTGGGGTGCCACTGCTTACTGTAGCCAGCCCTGTCTGCATAGACCACAGGGCTGTCAGCAGGGGCTGCTTCCTTGCAGAGCTCACAGACCTGCAAGGGGTGTGGAGAGAAACATAGGACACCAGGTAGTCAGGGGTTTGAATTCTAGCTCCAACTTCCCTATGTCCTGTATGACTTCGGACAATTAAAAGGCCTCCTTGGTTTTGTCATCTGCAAAATGGGATAATTATATTGTCTACCTAATAGATTGTTTTTTTGTGAGGACCACATAAAATTACTAACTGACCCAACAATTCTCAGATTGGTTGGTCTCATGACTATCTGTCCTCATAAATTATGAGACCTCCACAGAGGTCTTATTTATGTGGGTAACAGTGATTTATATTTACCATAAGAGAAGTTAAAGATGCAAACAGTAAATTAGTTATTCACTTATTTTTAATGATAAGAATGAGCTTATTAGTATGTTAACATACGTATTTTAATATTGAAAATAACTATACTTCCCAAGATGAAGAATTTTGTGTGAAGAAAGTTTTAATACATCCTATTACAGTTTGCAAATCTATTTAAACAGCTCACCCATTTGGTTTTCTCAGTTCTTAATATCTTGTATTAATAAGGTATCTTCAACACAGTGAACCAGTAGTAACATGCTGTTAGTAAGCAAAGCCCAAACTTCATTCCGATATTCTTAAATTTCAAGTGTCAGCTTTCCTCTTTCTAGTCTAGCACCACCCAGGACCCCACATTACATGTAGTCCCCTGCTTCTGCAGGTTCTGCTTTGTGGGGGTGGGATTTATCAGACTGTCTCTGTTTGGGGGACTTTGAAAGTTTGGGAGAGTCCTGGTCAGATATTTGGTAAAATGTCCCGTAACTGTATGATGTCCCCACCAGGGGGATGAGGACCCCATAGGCCATCGGTTGCTCTCCTCACATGCTACCAAGGGCACGCTGTCACCGGCTCCTCCCTGAGGATGTTGATCCCATTGGCCCTCTGGCTGAGGCTATGACTATCAAGCTTCTCCATGGTGAAGTGACCCCTCTTTCCATTCTGTCCTCTTTGGAAGAAAGTCACTATGCGTTCCTCATATAGACGATGCTCCACCTCCCTGAGGTTCAAGTGTCTACATATGTCATTTGGAACCTATGTTTGACCTTGACCTCAGAGATTCCCCAAAGGTACTTTGAGAACCACTGATTGATATCTCTCCAGAATCTGTGAATGTTGCCAGCATTTGTCTTGCATATCCATCCATCCATCCATCCATCCACCCATCCTTCCATCCATCCATCATCCTTCCACCCCTCCCTCCTTCCTTCCCTTCTAAATGTGGGAGGCTATATTTAGAACTTTCCTGCTTTCATCCCCTCAAGAGCAGGAATTTGACTATCTTACTTCATAAACTCTTTTAAGCCATTTTGAGTCTTCCTTGGCTCCTCAAAACCCCAGGCTGAGGTTTTGGCTATGTCCTTAGGGTGTCTCTGCCCTACACTGAACTTGGGACATTTCACTCTTTACAAACATCCCTACATATACTTGACAGTTATTCCCATATTAGGAAAGTTGTTGTTTTCCATCCTACACACAGACAAACCTCAGAGAGATCTGGTGACGTGCTCAGTGACACACAGTTGCCAGACATCAAGGCTCAGGTTGGAATCCAGGCCAAGCTTCCTCCAAAGCCACAGTTCTCTGGGCTACATGGCTTGGTTTTACAGCTGGTACCAACAAATGACCACCTGGGGCCACTACAGTTTAGCAAACTTTTTATCCCCCCAAATTCAGTTTTTCTCATTTTTCTAGAATTTTTTAAAAAAAGAACTGTGCTTAATTATTATATTTTGAATTTCATAAAGAAACATATCATAGAAAATTTTCTCTCTTGTTGCATAAGATGCTAACAGGATGTAGTCAGGTTTGGCTATTGGTTCACAATGTCTGAAATGTTTACCATCTGACCCACCACTGAGAAGTGTTTGCTGGCTTTGCTCTTTAGATGGTAATTTTAACTTACCAAGTACCAACTATATGCTGGCCAAAATGGAAAGATTTACTTTTTGCCATGTTAAGACGGGGAAGTATTTAAGAGTCTGCTATAATTTGGAATCAGAATATCCCTTTAACACCCCTGTCAAAGGCTTGGTTCCCAGGCTGTGGCATTATTAGGGGGGACATGGAACCTTTAAGGGGCAGGGCCTGGTGAGAATACTGTGTCATTGAGGGCATAGCCCTGAAGCAGTTGTGAGATGCTCATCTTTTCCCCTATCCCTTGGCCTTCCAGGCACCATGTGGTGAGCAGTTTTGTTCCACACACTCCTTCCATAATGTACTGTCTCACCACAGGCCCAAGGTGACAAGAGCAAGTCACCTAAGGCTGAAACCTCAAAAACTGTGAGCTCAGTGACCCTTCTCTCCTTATAAGTTGATTCTCCCAGGTATTTGTTACAGTAACAGAGAGATGACTGGTGCAAACACTATTTCTCTTTTATATATTTAACATTCTACTACATGTGCTTGTATACTGCAGGGGGAACAAAGACTAAAATGATGAAATTAGGATACAGAAACCAAATGAATGTCCGTGTAGCATAGCACCCCTCAGGCACTGTAGTTGCTGAGTGAATGTCTGGACATAGAATGCACTTGGTCATTTGGATAGATCCAAACTGGATTCTTCCTGATAATGGGCTTTAGGACATTCTAAGTTTTTAGTTTTGTTTCTGCCCCTGACAATAGATGCAGGAGTCCCTCACTTAACTGAAAACTGTTCTTCTCCCCATGACTGAATCCCTGCCTACCTGGGACTCATCAGATGGTCAAAAGCAAAAACTAAGTGAAAATCAGTTCCATTTCTGTACACTGCCCCTTTTGCCTAGGTGGGCATTGTAAACCACTTGGCCAGAGCTGTTTGGGCGCATGGTGAGTTTTCTGCCTGGCTTCTGAGTTTCATGGAATGACATTTCCAGTCCTTTTCTCCCACACAGATGGGACTTGCTCTCTAGATGGTAATTTTAATTTACCAAGTACCAAACTCCAAGTTCCCAGATGTTTTTTTTTTAAGATGGAAGGAGAGAGGAGCACGGGAAGAGAGCTCTGTGAACACTGGCAAACATTTCAGTAACACACAGATGGGAAGAGGGGGTCATGAGGTGAGAATGGCAGTCTAGGTGCTCACAGGGGGATCTGAACCCATGTTGTGGGTGGAAACTTCACTCTGGAGGCAACAGGGAACCGTGGTGGGATCTCGAGGCAAGGAACACAATGCTCTGATGCGAGCTGCAGGGCAAACTGGGGAAGTGTGGAGGGAAAAGAGATTTGTTGCACGGAACTTGGTGTCACTCTGCCCATATGGCCAGTGTTTTGTCAGGTCCCTGCCTGAGGACTGTGCCTTCCCCTGTTCTTTCAGTCTTGCTCCTGTTACTGCTGTCACCAGCTCTTTTCAACAAACAGCTATCACTCAGTTTGTGAAAATGTGTTGGATAATGAGCCCTGTCAATATGTTTCAGTGACCAGTTTCTTCTTCCTGTCTCTGAGTGATATTCTTTGCTATCTTCCTGGTCATCCCAAAGACTGATGGATCTGAGCTTGTCTTGGGCCTGTCAGCCTGTGGCTCCTCAGGCATCAGAAACAGATTGGCAATGCAGGTCTGAGAGCAACCGACTTAGGTCCTGATTCTGGCCTCTCTTACCACCAGTGTTGAGACTGAGGCTCATAGCTTCTCAGTCGCAGTGGGTGGAAAGGAGCTCTTGAGTCAGGTTGCCTAGGTGACTTGCTCTGTGACCTCAGGCAACTTAACCTCTTTGTGCTTCAGTTTTGTTACCTGTCAAATAGGGACACTGATAACAGCAATGGCATAGGGTTGTTGCACAAGTTCAATGAGCGAATGACTTACTGGGCTTTTGAAGGCCTCAATAAGGATTGGTGAACATCACCCGTTATTTTAAACTTTGCCATCCTATGCTAGAGAGCTAAGACTCAGAGGGGTTCAATCACAACACTAAGTTGATCAAGTCATGTTGAGATTGGGATTGGAGCTCCACTCTCCCTTCCTGGGAGATCATGTGGAGGAGGTAGAGGGAGAATTCAGAGGAAGTCCTGCCCAACCAGCCCTGCTGTGTCTTCCAGGTCCAGGCCAACCATAAGCACATGTGAAGCTGAGTGAACAGAGACAAGCTGTCCCCACGGAGATTCACCCAAATGGCTGATCTTTGATGAAAATAGACATTGCTGATATAAGCTACTCTGCCTCAGATGACTTGCTCCGCAGCATCAGGTGAGAGCTACATTGAATGGGGACATGTGGACTCATGCAGCCTTCTGAAATAGAAATAGCAGGATGAGGTGTCTCAGGCCACAGCAGGTTCAGGACATTGGGTCATGTGGCTGCAAAACCATCTCTTGAGGACTGAGCCATTCTGGCCTTCAGAGAGAGACCCAGAGACGTGGAGAAACCGCCATAGCTCTCTGCCTCAGGCTTGCCAGAAGCGTGTCCCAGTCGTACTTTTTTTCTCCTGGAAGGCTCTTATCCGAAGGCCTACCCAGTCTAAACCCAGAGTGCCTCATGAAAATCTCACCATTCCACTTCAGTAAATATTAACACAAGGCCTTGAATTCAGGTGCTGGGCTTGTTCCAATACAAACACGCAACATTTATTTATAAACAGCATCTCCCATCTCCTCTTATGGTGCTTAGTTCTCATCTTTTCTTCACAGCCTCATGCGTCCCACAAGGGTTTCTTCTTTTTCTCCTCCCTCTTTTCTGGCCTGGCATCATTTCTGCAACCTTAGCGATCTTGAGATCTGACTCCCCCGACCCCAGTCCTCCTAAGGCCCTAGAAGGTGCAAAAGGAGCAGGCTGGGTAGACAGTGGTTAGGGTTCCAGCCCTGGGATGTGGTCAGTTCCACAGCTTCATCCCTTGGGAAGCACTGGGAGAACCAGCCACCTCTCAGAGCCTTAGTAGCAGTGGAAGACCTTGGCTTGTAGGAAACTCTTCACCCATGGCAGTCACTACTGCTAGCTTTAACTTTCCTAGTGTCTTCTTGGAGCATGTTGACAACTTTGCTTTTCTCAGGGAGGTTAAACAT